GCAGCCATGGCATTTAAAGTGGAATCAAAGTGCTATAATTGAAAGAGACATCAGTAACACACATGCACACACACACACACATGCACCTTTATTGTTAATTCAGTAATGAAATAACAATAATGTCAGGGTGTCAAATGTCCAATAATTCAAATGGAGAGTAATTCCTGTGCTAATTCTAATTTCTTTTTACCAATTTGGAATTAAATCCCAACAATAAGACTCACTTCCAAATTACATTTGTACAAGTGAGGATTTGGACTTTAGCTGCTCTATTTCCCTCCATGATGAAATGCAGTTTCAAGGCATGATTCAGCCCATGTTTGGACGCATTAATCCTCATTTATTTCAAGAAGTGAGGAGACAATTAAGCACATGTGTCATCCCCAGTGGCACAGGTGTTATTTCCACTGACATTGATTTTACTTATTTATGCAAAGTACCAACAGCAAATTGTGAGTATAGTATATCAGATTTACAACATGATCAATAATGAAGATGCTGTGCTGTTTGTTGGTAACAGCCGTATTTTCTCCCTAGGCCAAAATGTAAAATGTTCTCATGACTACATATCACATTCTGATGCCCCCTATATATTTTGGACTACAACTCCAGTCAGCACAGGCCAACATGGAAAATGATCAGAGATTAGGGAAGTTGGCTTTCAAAACATTTGAAGGTCACCAAGTTGCAATTTAGAATTTACTTCCTCATTATGCATAGGCTTTTTATCAATACAAGAAAATACAGTTTTATGATATTTGGAACAGGCAAAGAGTTGGGAATGTGAAGCCTCTTATTTCAATAGAAAGGGCAAAACATAATTACTTTTAAAAATAGACAGACAACACTAAAAGTCATGCTTCCTGGGGGATTCTGGGAGTTGTCCAGAAAAGTAACTTTTTTCTATCTGGGAAGAATTCAGATAGTGGGTCCAAATATCATGAAATGCAAAATGTATAGACTGCAACATGTCTATAGAAAGATTAAATGCATGCAACCATTAATTCAAAAAAATTATCCCTTCCACACACATTTGTAGTAAATCTGCTAGTGTGGATGCAACCTTTTTCTAACAAGGGCATCTTCCTAATGTATTTGACTCCAACTGCTTTATAAACTTTTATTTTAAAAGTAGAACCTCAATTTATTTGTAACAATAATGTAGATTAATACATTATTTAAAGGGATTGCAATTTCTTCCCACACCCCCTAAAGTCCCACTTAAATTTCTGGGTTTTCTTTCATGTACAGGTGGTTAAGGTGTAGGCATCAAGTCACAACAACAACAAAAAAGACTGAGATGGTTTGAGTCAAGACCCAAGGCTCTGATCCAGGAAAAACTAGTTCTCTGCTGTCGTCTAGCCCTTTAATCTAGCTGGGTTCAAAAAGGAAAACAAACCTAAACTGGTAAGGTTTTTCTTTCACTTTAAACACCATTTATCAATGAAGCAAACTGATTTTCGGGATTTTTGAGGATTTGAAAAAATCAGGTTTTTGTTCGAATTAACCCCCTTTTAGATTCAAATTTAGTTATCAGACGAGGCGGAACGGGACAAATCCCGTAAATTAAAGTCTTCCGCTCGTCCAGTTTATTTCCACTTTCTCCCCGCAACTCCCTGTGTGATAACATCCTATAACAACAAGACACCTCACCCACAGTTCAGAAATAGCTTCAACTCCTTTCAGGAGAGAAACACCATGGTAGGGGTAGGCAACCTGTTTGAGCCGGGGGCCGGGTTGCTGTCCCTCAGACAATTGGGGGGCCGAAGCACCAAAAATAAATAAATAAATAAATAAAAATAAAAACAACTAAAAATTTTAAAAATATGCATGCACACTCTCTCAGCCCCAGAAAAGCCATGGCAAAACCCCTGTGGAGATGTTGCCAAGAAAACCCCAAGAACAAGTAATAATAACAATAATCAATATCATCATGGCGGGGGGGGGGGGTGGCGGCAGCAACAGGACAGGCCTGGGACCAGTCCAAAGGCCTCAGGGGACTGCATCCGGCCCCTGGGCCTTAGGTTGCCTACCCCTGCACCATGGTGTAGTAATTTCAATGTTCAACTACAGGAGACCATTGTTCAAATGCCTTCTCAGCCATGGAAACTCCTTGGCTGACCTTGAGCAAGTCACACACTCTCAGTCTTAGAGGAAGGCAATGGCAAACCCCCTCTGAACAAATTTTACCAAGAAACCATGAGAATTTCCCCTTAGGGTCGCCATATGTCGGAAGGACGTGAAGGTACACAACAACAAATTTCAAGAGAACTAATCATAACAAGAAGACCATAGATACATATATGTATGTGTATGTGCCTTCACATGATTTTGTTATTTTTTAATTATTTTTTATTATTTTAAATAACAGTAGCAATAATTATAATCTCCCAAGTGCTTTCATATGTGTATGCGACATATGGCAGCAACATGAATTTCATATGGTTCGCTTAAGCAAAGAGTACTCAGAAATGAATTGCTAAGGCCTTTTCCACTGCCCCTAGTATTCCATGGTGGTCTCCCATCCAAACAGGTAGTTAGATAGGTAGACAGACACATAGAGAGGGACAGAAATGGTACATTTTCTTGCTCCAGCAGAATAAGGCCCGGGGTTTATTCCAAGGCCCCCCTAAACAAGCACACTTAGTATATACACTTAATTTGCATCATTATCACTTATTTTCAAGGTGTGTCCCATGTCAAAGTCTAATGCTCATGGGGAAAAATCAATTCACAAAGTCAATTTTTCACTTTCATGTGAAAAATACATATCAGTATGATACAGACATATCAGTGCTGGCTAAATAAAGTGATTTTCCTTCAACTGTGGATCTAGGGGACACCACCACCACCACCATTTTAGTCATTAAAACATTGACTGAAATTGTTTGAAGAAGACCACACTTGCTAATTCCAATATTTGTATACCAAAATAAAGCTCTCTAAAACCCAATAAGTACTACTACATGGCCTGGGGTTGGATTGGATGGCTTTTGTGGTCTCTTCCAACTTTATGATTCTATGCTTTGTTGAATAATTATTTCTTCTGAGTGATTCCAAATTTTTGACTGTACTGAAAGAATGAATTGTTTGGTGGTTTTCATAGCCTTAATAATAACTTCTTCAATCCCAGGGTGAGTCCCAACCAGAGTAGATGGAAGTGCTGGACAGTAAATCAACATTTATATTCAAAGTGATGGTTGTGTTAGTCTGCTTCAGTGTAAAAAGAAGGGGTTGAAGAGGAAAGAGTCTTGTTGTACCTCATGGAATGCCTCCGAAGGAATTGATAGTAGAGACCTGAGGAAGCAGATTCAGGAAAACTCATGCTAAAATTAAAAAACTGGAGGATGTGGAGGGGGGGGGAAGAAATCTAGTAGTGCCTTTAGGGGTCCATCTACTGTAGAAATAATGCAGTTTGACGTCATTTAAGTGCTGGAACTCCATCCTATGGAATCCTGGGCTTTACAAAGTCTAACTTTTGTTCCCAAAGAGTGCTGATGCCTCACCAAACTACAAACCCCAAATCATAAGATAGAGCCATGAGAGTTAAAGTGGTGTCAAACAGCACTATATTACATTATAAATGCATCCTAAAGACTAACAGAACCCTGCTTAAAAATAAATTGGTCCTACAAGAATCCTTCAAATGCTTGTGTAAATCTTAATGATCCAACAAGTCTCCTCAAGTGAGAATGAGCCATAGGATAGAGGCTACAACTCCTGCTGCTCCAGCTGGGTTGGTTGGTTTATGTATGTGTATGTGTATGTGTATGTGTATGTGTATGTGTATGTGTATGTGTATGTGTATGTGTATGTGTATGTGTATGTGTGTGTGTGTGTGTGTGTCTTGGGCCCTTTTCTTGCCTTCCTTCTGGTTTAACTGAATTCAAAGACATAGCTGGTTTAGTCTGTAAAAATTAGTATGGAAAGAGATCTTGTAGCACCTTTTGAGCCTAACTTCTTTCTTTCAATAACATCCAAATCCACCAAACAGAGATACTTTTATTGGACCAACCAAAATGCACAATATACATGTTGCAAGCTTTTGAAGCTCCACTGGCTTCTTCATCAAGGAAAGGTGCTAAAAACCATAAAAGGAGGAGGAAAAAAATGAAGATGTTAGTCCTAGGCCTGCATTTTGCTGTTTTTATTCTCAATTCAGGTGGTACAACATTTGTGTCTTTCTTCCGGTTAGCCTCAAAGGTGCTACCAGATCTCTTTCTCTTCTGGTTGAACTGGTTCTCCTGGGCCAAACTTTCCCTTCTTTTCTTTTCTTTCTTTTTGTGTCCAGGAAAAGTGGGAGGATCTGAGGAGGGTCAGTCTTGCTCTGTCCATAGGGGGTTAATGGCTGGCTGGCAAGGGGTACAACAAAGCCAGACCCAAAGCCCCCCCCCCCCAACAGCCTGGAGACAAAAGCCTCCTGCCAAGAAGACAAGGCTGATCAGAGGGAAGAGCCTTGGAGCCGCTGAGAGGGGACACCCAGCCCAACAATGCTCTACAAGTTGATCTTATCAAAGGCCCCAAGCCCCTCCAGAGGACCAGGCCAGGGCTGTTTGCCTTCCCTGAACTCCAGAACAAAGGGCGGCTGGCCTTTCATCCTGATGCCCCCCTCCTTCAGCCTAGCATCTCATAGGAACAGGAGGAGCAGGAGATGCTCCAAGTGCACCACCATCACCAGCAGCACCATTTGAATGGAGACATCCATCCCCTGGCCCTCCTTCTCTTCTTCCCTTCCCCTCCCCAAGACCTGGACCTGGGAGGGAAAGGAAAGGGCTGGAAGAAAAAGAAAAGTTTAATAATAATGATAATGATGATAATAGCAATTTTTATTTCTTTCCAACCTCTCCTCAAGCCTGGTGGGCCTTCATCTTATGGTGATGACCCTAAGGCGAACCAATCTTAGGGTTCTCTTCGCAAGATTTGTTCAGAGCAGGCTTGCCATTGCTTTCCCCTGAGGGCTGAGAGCATGTGACTTGCCCAAGGTCATCCAGTGGGTTTCATGGCAGAGCTGGGAATGGAACCCTAGTCTCCAGAGCCATAGTCCAACACTCAAACCACTATGCCACACTGGCTACAGCATATGAAAATTCAAAACACAATTCAAAACATAAACCCACAGTTAAAATACAACACTATCAAGTCATTAAAACATGCTCATAAAATTAAAAAGTCATGATTTAAAATTGGCTGGGTTGGCCTGGTGGAAGAAATATGTCTTTAATGCTGTTTTAAATGCAGTCAGCATTTTTGACTGGTGTATTCTACAGTCTGGGGGCATTTTGGTTGGCCATCTGGAATGTGGCCTTCTTCTCTTTCTACTGCCTTCCTCCTTTCCTAGCATCAATGCCTTTTCCGGTGATTCATTTTTCCCCATGATGTGGCCAAAGGAGGACAGCCTCAATTTAGTCATCTTCCAGGGAGAGTTCAAGTTTGGTCTGTTCTAAGATCCATTTGTTTGTCTTTTTGGGCTCCACAGTATTCTCAGTACTTTTCTCCAGCACCATAACTCAAATGAGTCGATTTTCTTCCTATCTGCTCTCATCACTGTCCAGCTCTCACATCCATACATGGTGATGGGGCTATAAATAAAATTTATTATTATTTATTATTATTACAATGGTTTGTATGATCCTCACTTTAGTGTTCAGAGTTATGTCTTTACACACTTTATGATCCTGTCCATAGCTGCCCTTCCTGGTCCTAGTCTTCTTCTGATTTCTTGACTACAGTTGAACCAAGGTATAGGAACTTTGACTATTTCCATTTTCTCATTTTCTAGACAAATTCTTGTGGATCTTTACTGGACATTGTTTTTGTTATAGGGGTCTATCTTCCCCCAATTTGATTTAAAGGCATGCATCCTCTTTTCTCACCTTCCCAATGGGAAGCAAGAAAGAGGACTTTCATTCCAATGATGGGAAAGCCAGAAAGTGGTTGCATGCCTTTTGGGCTGCATCTACAATGCAGTTTGACAAAACCTAAAGGGCCATGGCTAATGCTTTGGAATTCTGGGATCTGTGGTTTTGAGAGATATTTAGCCAGAGAGCTGTGGTGCCACAACAAACTACAAATCCAAGGATCTCATAGCATGGTGCTATGGCAGTATCATTTTTGTAATGCAGATGCAGCCTAAGGGAAGGTTGGGAAAATATTACATGTCTGTAATTCGAATTATGAGGAAGGCAAAAAGAGACTACCTGCCTTTAAATCTAGCTATGGAAAGACTACAGTGGCTGCATGTATTTAATCCAGAAAGGAGGGACCATTACTGCTTAGATTTCTATTGAGTCGAAACCAGACCAGACTCAGTGAATCACTGGTTGAATATTGAGTCAACAGTTGGTAAACCCTATTGATTCAATGCCCTCTATTCCAGTTGGGAAGAACCAATATGATTAATTCCCAAATAAGACAGTCCTTGGTTCTCTCCTTTCCTTCCCATTGAACTTTTTCACTTTTAACTCAATGATCTAAAAACAAAACTAATTCCAGGTTTAGGCCAACACAATGGTAGACCTAGTGTAATAAAAAAGAACTTGTCAACACTAATAATAATAATAATAATAATAATAATAATAATAATAATAATTTTTATTTATATTTCCCGCCTCTCCCTATGGATCAAAGCGGGATAACAAGTAATATAAAAATACAAAGCATAAAATATATAAAAACCACAACAACAATATCCTGTTGGTTTCAATATGGTAAATTAAATCCTGTTGGTTTCAATATGGGTATACTCTATATCGGGACTAAAATTGGAATTATACTACAGGCCTTACACAATTTGTTAAACAACTGAGTGTTGAGGAAAGTAGAAACCTTTCTGTCCCATTAAGTTGAGCACCTGGTGGGGGAGCACAGAAACCTCTATCTTCCCAATGCTTAAAGAGATTTAATAAAGACTAAATATTCCCATTAGGTAAGACTGAAGGTTATATTTGTGACAGTCACACATTTTTCTTCCAATATATATATATTTTAAAAACTCCACAGCTTCTCTGGGCATGACCAATATATACTTCCTCACACCACTAAAGGGGGTTGCAGACTGACAGAAATAGTGCAAACTGAGGGCCTAAGCAGACTGCC